CAGCAGATATTTTAATTAATTTATTTCGTTTACTATTGCTGTCATAATCTAATCTATGGACACTGCAAAATATTACAAAGAGTTAGTGTTAAGAGAACAGCTATACAAAACAGAGAAAAGCAGAGACTGCCTCTTTAGAATACATAATAAAATGATCAACATATCAATAAATATCTATGTTATTAATTAATATACTCTGTGATTGTGAATATAATTAAGATGGGTCTTAAGAGATAATATGACCTCTAGACATTAGGAAAGACAACAGGAAAATATTTCTTCTGATGAGTTTCACAAACTCTGACATATACTATTGCTCCATTGGATAGTTCTTTCTTTCTTTTACCTTCTTTCCAGTGTAGGTGAAAATCTGAATACATGATTTGGGAGGTTCCATGATGCATTTTGTACAATGTTTAAAGTAGATGGAAACAGGAGGGGGAGCTCTCATCACACCAGCCAAAGAAGTGAGGGACCTGGTGGGGAGTTCTACTTACCCAAGATAGGAAGAGAAGGGGGAGCAACTCTCTCCCTTTACCTCCCGCCCCCTGCCTTCCTTCCTTTAACCCCTGATTTTATACTGGGTTTTCTATGTCAAGTGATAATGAAGTTGCTATGGTAATTATCATGAGTTTCCCAACCTTATAGTAATGCCCAAACAAAATCCCACATAATTTGCTAGCATCCCCATACACTGTCACTGATGACTTACCTGATACAGCTGCCCTTTCATGCATTCTTTTAAAAACAAACAAACAATATGTTGTTTTTCCACGTTTAAACAGGGGAATCTGCTTTTCCATTTATTTCCTTCAAAGAGAAATGACCTAAGTTACACTGATAGGAAAATGTCTCTTAAATTGCCTTTAAATTGAAGCAGGACAACATATTTAGTTACGTTGAAGTGTGGCTTTTAATGTAGGTATTTTAAAATTATGTAGGGGCACCTAGAGTGCATGGATACATGCCCTTTAAAAATATGTGACTCTCAATAAATACAAACAGAAAAAATAGAGTGTAAATTAAACACTTGGGAATTTTTTTAAACAACCCATTTGCACGTTCCCTTTTATAGACAAATTTTGTCTTTTGCAAGTGCAAATGATTGTGCCTGTAAAACTGTGAGGAAAAATTTAAGGCCAGATCCTCTTCCCACTGAAGTCAATAAAAGTTTTACTAGTGACCTCAGTAGGTGCAGGACTGAGCCTTAACAGGCTGATTAATGCCCCTGTGAAATTCTGGGCGAAGCCCCTAGCCCCACATAAATCAACGGCAAAACTGCCATTGATTTCAGTAGGGTCAGGATTTCACCCTTAGTCCATAAGTACTTTTTAAAATCATAGGAACTAATCAGGCAAACACTTACACATGTGCATAACTTTACATGCATGAGCAGTCCCACTGAACTCAAGCAACTAAAGTTAAAGGCATGCCATCATTTATAGGGTGTTAAAATGCAGAGTATCAAACAAACACTGCTTAGCCATTAGAATGGTGAGGATTCCTTTCAAATCATGGAGTTATTTTCACACTAGAGATATGTGCTGTCACTGTTCAGTAAATATATGTAATTAGTTATGGCCTCTCTAAGGCAAACAGCAGATTTATTTTCATATACTTTTTGGAGATGTTCAGTCCTATTCCATTGTAAGATTAACAAAAGAGGAGCCACTTTCACAATTTCTGATGTTCTAACTCTTCATAGTAAGTGGATGAGCCGCCATTAAAACATGAAATTGTCTCTTTTTCTTGGCTTCTGTCTCTCAAATGACAAGTAGAACAATTCATACTCAGCTTAGTTCCAAAACTTACTTCAGTAGTTGAAAATTTATAATAAATCATACGTGTAATTTGAACATTCTAAATACAGGAATATTTGAACCTGAACTTTTCCTAGGCAAGCAAGAATTGACATCATGCCCTATGTCATCACTGGAAATATAATATTCCAATAATAAACACTGGAATGAAAACACCAGTTTTCAATGAGGTATGACTACTCACAGATGCCAAGAGGCAAACCATGGTCACTGCAAAAGGGAAATAGAGGCAGCACTTCTGTATCTATCTAAAGTCAATAGTAGATATACAGACAAACAGTACATATTCTGGGATGATCAGGATGTTAAAGATTTATTGGCAACTGTTGAAAAGCAGGACTTCTGAGGATCAGAACTCAGACTCAGCAGCACTAGATTCAAAGTGATGCCTGATTTATAGCCAAATCCTACAGTCCTTAGAAAGGAAAACTGACATAGTCAAAATTCCCACTGAAGGAATATGCAAGGAATGCCAGATTTGGCCCTGAGAGACGATCAATCATATTTGTCCACTCACAAATTTAACTGGCTTGGTCCTAAAAGGCAATTAGTCATATCTGTCCACTTACCTGATTTAATGGCTTGAGGGCATTTGCATTGTTTTGGCCTGTTGTTGCACTCTGCAAAATTCCTGTTGCTTTGAATGGAAGTTTTGCCTGCGTTAGGAGTGCAGGATTGTCAGATTATTTATCTGCTTTGATTATTAGAAAAACAATACCTTGTTGCCATAATTATAGAAAATGTTCAGAAGAAAATATTATTATTAAGCTAGAAACACATATTAAAAGATATAATAATACTTAAGCATATGTCATAGTGTATTTCATGTAACACTCTAAAACTAGCGCTTTTGGTACATGGGTTTTTTAGAAGTTTCTTTTAACTTCTTTAAACCAACATTTCCACATATTTTTCATTAAAACTGCCTTGTCAGCTCATAGTAGAAACTGGTACTTTTCTCTAATACAAGAATTCACTTTACCTTTTTCATCAGGGTATATCCATATAACTGAACAGGTGACAATTCAAATCACAATTGTTTTCTGAGGGAGACAATGTATTAAAGCTAAAGGCTTCAAAAAGTTCAGGTGCTGTACATGAAATTATGTTTGATCAAATTTTCATCATTATATTTCATTTGTAACCCATGAAACAATACTTCAAGATTTTGCTTTTTGATAGGAGCTCAACAACAGTGATTCAGTTGTAGTGAGTTTCGAACAAGGAGAAAATGAGGGGCATTAATATTTTTCCACTAGAGTAAAAAAGCACCTTTATGACAAAATCACAATGAATTTGAGGTTACATACCAAGTACTGAACATCTCTGCAAATTCACACAAATTATTTTGCAAAAACTCATTAAATTTACAAATATTACAAACAAATCTGAATACTTTTTAGCACTTGTGCATATAAGGCCAGAACCTGCATTCCTTATGCATTTAAAACTCCCACTGAAATGCGGGATAGAGCCCATTCTGTATATACTTTGCTTTTGTGCAGCATTGTATGTACAGTATGTACTGTTGCATCTACACTGATGCAAAGAAAGTCTATACAAGAGTCTTTGCAGGTTTCTACTACTTTACTAAACTGTATGATCAAATCTGTTTCCCTGCTTACTCATTATTCATTTAGGCTGTGATTAAAGTTATCTTTTTGTTGAACAGTTCTGGTGACTGTACAACTACATAGATGTACTCTACAACTTTCCAGCCTGACATATGTTTTGTGTTGACACCTTTTGATGATTACTCCTCAATTAACAAGCCAAACGTATTTTAAATCTCAAATTCTTCATATTTTCAGTACTGCAGAGCAAACAAATAAACAACAGTGGCTCTATGTCTCTAACCACTCCACCATCTGAACACAGTAAGCATGGCTTATTCTAGTCACCAAAGGAGAAAGAGTTCTGCTCAACTTTTTATATTCACAAATGTCAGTGATTTAAGCTTAAGAAACAAAAAAATGTAAATTAGACATTGTAACATACAAAACGAACTTAGCTTTGACAGGCTAAGCAGAGATTTTTATGGAAAGCCTAGTCATACACATATAGAACACATTTTAGCTTTCAAATATATTTTAAAAATGTGTAATTTGAAGCTGTACCGCAGTCATAATGAAAAATTCTTTACAATTACAATTTTGACTTATGGAACAATGGACACCCCCATATCATATTGTATCAGGTAATTACGAACTGCCAAGGAGTAAGAAAGCACAACCCGAGAAGAATCAGTTTAACCCCCACAGTGTGTACCGTAATTCAGTACCTCATTTCTCAAGTACCTCCTATCAAACCATTCATTCTCATTTCCTAGGCACAGATAAAAAAGAAAAAAAACCCCAACCGAGTTAATCAAACCTTTTCATGACAGAAACAGCTTCTCAGAGCACATACCCAGGTTTGGAAGTTGAGGAGGAGGAGGAAGGAAAGGGGGGGAAATCAGATTAAAGTGAATGGCAGCTCGTTCAATGAAATCTTGTAGCCGCTTTCAAACCAGACCAGTGCCATGAGTTCACCTAAAAGGGCTGGGAGTGGGGGGGACTGTTCTGCAGCGGGGCAGTGCTGGGCAGGGCAGGATCGTGGAGCCTGGCTTAGGAACACGATGATTTGCGAGAGACACTTCCTACAGGGGTCGGGTAACAGGCAGCCCAGCAGCGAGGAGGCGTTTCTCCGGCCGGGAAGATGCTGGGGCTGAGAAGCGTGTGTGCTCGCGTGTGCTGCACGGCCTGGCCTCCCGCGCTGTTCTGCCCACGGACTGCGATCGCCCAGCCGGGGCCCGGGCAGGGGGACACGCAGCATCTGCCGGCCCAGCCAGCCCGACCGCTCCCAGGCCATGTCCGTCCTGACCCCACTGCTGCGCCTCTCTCACCCGGCGGCGGCGGCACGGCTCAGGCTGGCAAGCGGGGGTCTCGGAGGAGCCCTCGCAGCAGCCCCAGCGCTCTGGCCCCGGCGGGGGAGGATGGGCTGGGACAGAGCGCGCCCCCTGCCCCTCCCCTGGCGGGCTGTGTGCGTGTGAGCGCAGGGCGGGCTGGCGGGCGGGGGTCCGCGCGGGGCGGGGGGATGCTGATGAGCAGGGACGTGAGCGAAGCCCCCAGAGCCTGAGCCGGAGCCGCGGCGGATTCGGTGGCCGTGGAAGCTCCGCCCGCTCCCGGAGCCGGGGGCCGTCCTACCCCCCTCGCCTTCCACCCCCTCGGCTCCAGCCGCTCCGCAGAAGGAGCGGGGCTGGCTGGCGCGCTCGCTCGCTCCCTCTCCCTCTCTCCCAAACACACGCACCAGGCTCTCCCTCGCTCGCCCATGCAGACAGCAGCCGGAGTGGCGGAAGATGGCTGACTCCACAGGGCATCACCCACCCTCCAGCCCGCCTGCATCCCTGACCCTCCCCGCGCCGCTCTCGCCTCCGACACTCCCTCACGCCAGCTTCCACCGCTGAGCCAGCGACCCCCGCCCAGCCCCGCCGCCCTCCCCACTTCTGCTTCCCAGCCCCCCCACGACACCAGCAGCCATTTCATCTCCACCAGCCAGACGCAAAAAATGGCAGAAATGGAGAAAGAAGGGAGACCTCCCGAAAATAAAAGAAGCAGGAAGCCGGCTCACCCGGTGAAAAGGGAAATCAACGAGGAGATGAAGGTATGTGCCTGTGAGGGGGAAGGGGGGCGCCTCTGCCCCCCTTCCTCCACCGGGCAGGGCAGTGAAATAAGAAAGGATCTCTTGTCATTTTTTTGGTAGGATGCACTGAATGTGTCTCAACTCCGCCTCCTGGGCTGAAAACAGAGCCGGATTCACAGGCTGCAAAGCCAGCTCATTGACCGCCTTTGATTGCTTGATTTTTTTTTTAAACTCTCCCTCCTTGGGATTTTAGGCTCCTTGGGTGCATTTTCTATTACAATCCTCGCAGGTTAGCCGGAAAGCTGTGAAGTTAGGGGAGGAGGGAGGGTTTTTTCAACACTGGCTTTCTCTCCTTTTTCAGTAGCCAGCTGCAACCGTGTAATTAAAATGTCAAAGTGAAATGTTATGGTCTGAGCTGCACATCATTTTTGGACTTAGAGACAGGGACTCTCTTCCCCCCCCCCCTTATTCCTTGCTCCTCCTATGTTCTACATGCCTCACTTCACAGTTAATCAAAGCAGCATAGGTGCTGTTGAAAGAGAGCTGTCCGAGGGGCTGTTGTTGATAGGAGTCTATTTATTGTTTGGAGTCTATTCCTATCTGATAGGAAACTGTGCCAATCCAGCTGTTTTCCAGAGGTAGCGCTGGAGGCTGTCCCTCCAGCTGTTAGAATGGGAGCGATTGCACAAAAACACATTTCAGGACTTCTTTTGGCATTAAGTCGCAGTTCTAGGTTGGACTTGTCCTATTTTGTGCCTTTATTTTCCATGTCTATTCCCTGACCTGTATTTATTTTATACCTCTGATGTATTTTCCCCATGAGTCATACATAACTAGCACGTATTGCAGGACTTCAGCTGAACTTACTTTTTTAAAATGCAAGTATAAATTAAAACAATTGTTTTAATTGTTATATAATGATAAAACTACCATTATTTAATTTAAATGGGTAATTTATACTAAAATAGAATGTCACTGGAATATTGCTGTGAAAATGTCATTATAGATGTCATTCTATATATATAGAAACATACCTATTAACAAGACATTTTATAATATAGCATTGATTTTCACCCAGTATTAAAGGGGAATGCTGGATACAATTCCTCCCCCACCCCCTTCAAACTGCATTACTAATTTGACTAGATATTCTTTACTGGTTAAGGTAGGCATTCTCTTTTCCATATTGTCTGTGTCCTGGAACTGTGGACTAGGGTAGTATTAGTGATATGAACAAAATAAGGGCTAACTGATAATAAAGAGTTGCCACTGATATCCAGGGCAAACCACTCTAGATTCCACCCCCAGAGAGCGTTATTGTTTCTTTGAGAGATTTGTGACACTTCCTATTTTCAGATGGGACTTTCTAAAGGCTGTGGATAGTAACAGTAATTGCTCCTCATAATCACATAGTTTTGGGAGCTGCACAAATCTATCACATTTTAAAACACCACTTAATGCGATATATATGGAGTGCAGTTTTTAAGTTTCATAGGTTCTAGAATTACAAATTAGTTAATTTTAATCAAAACATGTGAAATGTTATCCTGGCTGGATATAAAGGCTGACTGTGCTGGATCCTCTGGGTTTGTTTTGTTTACTTTGGCTGCAGGCACACTCAGTGGTTTGGGAGATAGTTGTTCTTCTACAGTATAACAGATGTTTGTCTGAAATGGTGAGGAAGAAACAAAAACAACATTGTGTGAAGGAGAAAAATTACACAATTTTAAACTATTGCTTTGGTATTAAGGATTGGAATTAACCTTGATGTAGAGTTTCGCTTTTGTAATCATTGTTTACTGTTTAACGTTACAAACCTCAGGATTTTAACTGTATTAATAATTAAATCACAAGTTATATGCTGATATGATTGGAATTTAGAACAGATTCTTTTTTTTTCTGAGCTGGGGTAAGGTAAAGGTTGGCAGTAGCTTTCACAAAGCACAGATCACCTAGTAGTGCAAATTAAGCTATTGAGCTAGGAGACCACATTTTTAGTAAGAGCAGTTGGTTCTTATAATCGTCTAACTATAATCAAAGAAAAAACTTAAGAAGTTTGCATATTTGTGCTGTTTAGAATGTTAAAAACTGTGGGAGGGTTCATTGTCTTTCCCGATATATTTTTGCATTTAATAAAAATCTGTTCTAGGTTCTTTTTTCATAAACCTGAAGAGTACAGTAACATATATTGGTTACACTGTATAAAATGTGTGCAACAAAATGTCATAGAGAGCACAATGTGCCCTTTTGTAGGTTCATATCTATAATGTTCAAACAGCCTGACTGTTTCCCTTCATCTGAACTGCTTTCATCTGGACCAGTGTAAAATAAGCTCTGGTAAGTAATCACGGCAGAGCAGAAAGAAAGGAATGTATACAGCAATAGACAGCCTAAGCTGTAAAAACTGTAACCTGAGTACCAGCAGCAGATCAGATATCAAGGCTTCAAGGTAGGGGAAATGAAAGAGATGAAGGGGAGGAAAAGACGAGAGAGGGAATGGAAAAGTCAGCTTGGAAAGTGAAGGAGTAGTAGGAGGGCCCCCTCAGGGAAATTTGGCTCAGGGATTAGGGAATTTTATCATGGTGTACAGTGACCTACTCGGGTTTCAGCCCACGTTGGATCAAATTGCTTCCCTTTGCTAGCAGAAAGAAAAAGGACTGGTGTATATGTGATTTTTTTCTTCGGGTAATAAAAAGGCCATTGGTACAAGTGTCTATTTTAAGTTCAGCAAATGCAAGGCACTATGAATGAGCAATAAAATTACCTCATCACAAAGACTTCCTTCATGATTTGCTGTTTGATATAGTCACATATTTACTCAAGAATGATCACTAACCCCAAACTGCTCCGTTTTCATAGGTTGCATCAGTAATGTTACTTCCAGCTCAGTTTTAATTTGATTGGAAACTCGTGTTGCTTGCTGTTTCATTATGCCAGTTATTAAGTTACATTTTTGTTATCCCTAGCCCAATGTACATGACGGTTGTAACAAATTTAAATTTGATACAACATTGTGTGCAAAAAATACATGACTCTGCATAGTTTCCCTATATTACGTTTCAATTAAAAAATATTCAGATAGAAGTGTTTTGTTTCCCTGTGACCTTCACAGTTTCTCTCTTTTCCCTGATTTATTTTTCTGTCCTTCTTTCTTATATTCTCTTTTCCCCCCTCAGATTATACTTTCTACTTCTCTTCAGAGATGGGTGTTCATATGCCAACAAATTGTTATTCTGAAACTAAGTCAGTGTCATTTATCACTTTGGTACTTTTCAGTGACTATTATGAATAATACAACATGTATTCTATTCAGGAATATAATGTAATCAAGGCAATCTGACACTTTTAAAAACTAGTTTAATTGTTACAGCCTAATCAATACATTAGTCTCTAAAGACTTGGTACAGCTCTATACCTCATTCTTTCCTCCCCTCCCCATATATTCCCTCTACCCAGACTTACTTTCATGTGCTATACTACTGGGGGTAGCAGGAAAACTTAAGAATGTGAAAAAAGTGATTTGAAATATATTTTATTAAATTTGCTAGAATAAATTAATGTGATTGCATCAAGCATAGTGTGCTGGAAGCTCTGGTAAACAAACAAGACAATTTATCTACATGTTTAGATTTTTTGTCAATTGCAAAGTTAGCGATTAATTTGTGTTATAATTTCAGAGAGCTGCCTCCATGTGTCCTAGGAGTTTACCATCTATAAATATTCTCAATAAGTAATTTGTACCTAAAACTGGACTTCCTTCCTGATGCCTAGAGCTTAAGACATCTATTATAGGTTAACAGTAAACTCATCAAAAGATACTTCAATTTAGTGTTTTAATATTCCCCGTATTTAAAAGGACCACTGTCAAAAGGTAACAGACACTGCAGCGCTGACTGCATTTGAAATGAGCCAGATAAGGGTAAATATTAAAAAAGTTCTAGGGGAAACTCCTTCCTTCTCTCCTGAAAAGCAAAAAATGTGTTTGTAAAAGTAAAATCAGATAGCCTCTATCAATTGTACTATTCCAGGGCACTGTTACTATACCATTTTCATGGAAATAGATTTATGAGATATCTACAGAGTGAATTGTATTATCTGCATGAGAGACCTGCACCTATCCTCTTTAATGGAGTAACAGGTCTGTGTATTAACTGTTTATACAAATGAGGTTGATAAATTCCACCTTACAACACTAATAAAGGGGTGGCTGAGTGAGAAAAAAGGAAATTAAAGAAAGGTCAGGAAAATTTACTTATTGACAGCATAATATTCAAAATGGTGGCAATGCAAATGAGCAGAGAAAATGTGGACTGGAAGAAAAGTGATCAAGTTCATGTGGTGAATATACACACATTTTAATTTCCTTTATATACCTGAGGTGAATCCTCAGTGCTGTATATCTGGTGGGTCATTCATGCAAGGAAATGGAATGGAGCCACTCTGCTTCCTCCAAAATCTGAAATAAACATTCAACAGTAAAAACTAGAAGAAAATTAGTCTGACAGACTCATTCTCTTTTGTGTTTCCTGCCTCTGTCTTTGCCAGGCCTCACTCTATGAAGCCAGGACAGTCACTGTGAATAAGGTTCATAGAGAAGGAGAGAAAAAATAGATAAAATTGAAGGAAAAACACCATTTTGTTTTAAAATATATCCATTAGTAAAAATTTGGGAAAACTGTACTCTGTGAAGTAAGGTCAAACCTTAGGTATGTGATTACAATGAAATGAATCCTGTAAAGGGAATCAATGTTAATGGAGATAAGATTTCTGTTGCCTCATATCGTTAGTCTCATAAAAGAAATCACAGACATTCAGATCCATAAAATCTTCTTCCCTCTTCCTATGAATGAGAAGTAAATTCACTTCAAATTACAATCTAACATAATGATACAGTTTTTTGAAGAGGGAGATTTCTGTGTGGTACAAGAATAAAGAAATGATCCCGTTAGAACATGCAATCAAATCACTGCAGAATTGCAATATGTGGCTTTGGACTCACAAGGGGCAAAAAAGAAGATATGTATATTAGGAGCTGAAGACTTTAGGGTATTGTTATTACATAACCAAGGGCTTCTGGAATACTACAGCATTTTAAGGCCAATTTCTTTGGCAAAGATGAGTCTGTTGCAAATCTTAGTAAATTCCTTGGCAGTTAAGCAGATGTGATAGCACACAGCTGCACACCTACATTGTCAGCTAACATAATCCAGGAGATTTCACTTTAGCCATTCTGTGGGATTTAATTGATTCTTTCAATGCACTAGGAAATACAGCTCAAGAGATTATCAACGACTTGGGATAATAGATATATGGAGTAGGCCATGACCAAAAAATGAGCATTGTCTAGTGGTCTGAGTATGGAGGGACATAGAGTCAGGAGTTCTGAGTTCTTACTCTCAGCTCTGTCACTGATTTATTGCGTTACCACGGGTATTAGTTAGCCGCTTTGTACCTCAATTTACCCATATGTGAAATGAATATTATCATGATTCCCTATCTCAGCGGGGTTTTGTGAAGTGTAAGGCCCCAGTCTTGCAATCAAATGTGCTAGCACAGTGATCTGCACCAGTGCAGAACTCCAGTGGGGTTCAATAGGTCTCCACATAGTCTTTGGGGTCCATGCTAATATTGCATAATTGATTGATTGGGGACCCAATTGATTAATGAATGACATCCTGGTGTGGAGGACCTGCATGAGGTCCTCTAGACCACTCCAGCCTCCCAATGGGGCCAGACAGTTGGGCATGCTGGCAGAGCAGCCAAGCAAAGGGCCTCTGCTCCCCCTCCCCCCACACCAGAAGGTAGGTCTTTGTCCTGCTTTGACATAGATCACTGTGGAGATTATCAATTGAGTGGGTTAGGAGCGTGGCCCCTGTATCTATTATATATGGATCCAGTGGCCCTATCACCCTGAACAAATGGGGTAGAAGCTCTGTTTCCACTGTTTGGCCCATAGACTGAAGTAGAAACCATTGGTGCATCGCCAGAGACTCATCCTGAGTGGAGGATGGATTTTATCTCCACTCCCTCTTACCCACCATACTGCATCGGGATAAAGTCTGATTACACAGCCTTTATTCTGGCACCATAATATTTAGAATATCTCTTTGAGAACCTCAGATGAATGTGCTACAGGAGTGCAAAACATTATAATTTAAACACTACAGGTCACAGAAAACCACCACAAGATATAGCTATTCATTATGTACTCCGGCCCATATTTTTGTGATTTTCCAGTGCATCAGAACATAAGAACAGCCATACTGGGTCAGACCAATGGTCCATGTAGTCCAGTGTCCTGTCTTCTGACAGTAGCCAATGCCAGGTGCTTTAGCGAGAATTAACAGAACAGGCAAACTTTGAGCGATCCATCCCGTCATCCACTATCAGCTTCTGGCAATCAAAGGCTAGGGACACCCAGAGCATGGGGTTGCATCCCTGACTATTTTGGCTACTAGCCATTGATGGATCTATCCTCCATGAACTTATCTAGTTCTTTTTTGAACCCTGTTATAGTTTTGGCCTTCCTAACATCCCCTGGCAATGAATTCCACAGGTTGTCTGTGCTTTGTTTGAATACTTCCTTTTGTTTGTTTTAAACCTGCTGCCTAATAGTTTCATTGGGTGATCCCTGGTACTTGTGTTGTGTGAAGAAGTAAATAACATGTCCTCATTCACTTTCTCTACACTAGTCACAATTTTATACACTTCTACCATATTTCCTCTTAGTCATCTCTTTTCCAAGCTGAAAAGTCCCAGTCTTTTAAATCTCTCCTTATTAATGTCTCCCCTTAATCATTTTTGTCGACCTTCCCTGTACCTTTTTCAATTCTAACATATCTTTCATGAGATGGGGTGATCAGAACTGCATGCAGTACTCAAGGTGTGGGTATACTATGAATTTATATAGTGGTATTATGATATTTTCTGTTTTACTATCTATTCCTTTCCTAATGGTTCCTAACATTCTGGTAGTGCTTTTGACTAACACTGCACATGATTGAGTGGATGTTTTCAGAGAAGTATCCACAATGACTCCAAGATCTTTTTCTTGAGTGGTAACAACTAATTTAGACCCCAGCATTTTGTATGTGTACTTGGGATTATGTTTTCCAAAGTGCATTACATTGCATTGATCAACACTGAATTTCATCTGCCATTTTGTTGCCCAATCATCCAGAAGTATTCAAAGGTTTGGCACTCACCATAACCCAGATTTTACTATATTGACTTTTCAGTCTTCTGTTGGACAGGTATCTCTGAGGACACAACTCAGGCTTAACATGGGCAAAACTGAGCTCTTGATTCTTCCCCAAAACCTTCCCTCTTACTCCTTTCTTAGTCACTGTCACTCAGACACCACCGCTTCCTCCTCCCTATTACTCAGGCCTATAAACAAGGTGCCATCTTTGACTCAGCCCTCTTTCTAGACCCACACATCCAATTGTGCCTACATCTTGCTGCTGCAGGAAAAATAATCTTTGTGGCTCATCACTTTGACCATGTTATCCACCTCATTGCATCCCTCCACTGACTCCCCCTTCTCTATTGCATCAAGCACAAACTACCTGTCTTCATTTTTAAGGCCCATTATGGTCTATTCTTACCTTAACTATCATTTCTTTTATGCTATAGAGACATAAGACCCCCACATTTGCTTCACCATTGATTGTCCATTTGTCAGATTTTCAGAAGAGTACCATCATGCTGTCCCCCATGCTAACCCCTGTAAAATCCACCAGGTCACTACATTATCCTCCTTTACATTTCTCCTTAAAACCCACCCATATCATAATGCCTAGAGAACACTTGACAATGATTAGACAATTGCTGTGCTGTGACTGCTGATTATTCATAACTCTCTTTTTGTTTCCTTGTGCTTTGTTTGTCACATTCACACCATCTTAAACTTTATTATTATGGTTATTACTTATCTGTATTACTGTAGCCCTTAGAACCACGGACCAGGACCCCATTGTGGTAAGTGCTCTACAAACAGAACACAAAGACATAGTTTGTAAGCTCTTTGGGGAGTCTAAGATAAGAAACAACAGATGGATACAAGCAGACAAGGGAGTACAAGGAAACAATGAGACAATATTGGTCAGCATGATCGACAGTGGTATCAGCACACCTGCAGTCCAGTCATTGTCAGTTTTTTTTGCAGCCATCATGGAAAAATAGAATCTTAAGAAAAGATTTGAAGGAGGATAATGAGGTGCTTTGTGACTAATTACGGGGATCCCCTTCCAAGAGAGGCAGCATGGAAAAAAGCAAGCAGGTGCTTCCAGACTTTGACTGTAAGCTCTTTGAGGCAGTGACCGCATAGCACAATGGAGCCCTGGTCTTTAGGTGCTACAACAATACTAATATTAAAATATAATAATCAAAATAAATACAATAAATTAATTTTGAGTTGTTTTTAATCAAAGGGACTTTTAAAAATAATATTTTTAAAAGATTCTTCACTCATGTTGCCAATAACATAGGACCAAATCCTACTTCCATTGAAATTAATAGCAAAAGAACAGTTGACTTCACTAGAAATAGGATCAGGCCTTTGGCTTTATTAAAATTAATAGAATTTTAAAATCACATTTACTTTTCACCATGTCGCTGTTTACTTTTTGCACTTCACTCAGCTTGGATAGTGAAACTAGGCTGGTTCAATTTGTCTAGAGTTACTTAACCTTTGTGACAGTGTGGGCCATTACTATCATCTTGGCTGGATCCTAAAGGCTGCAACTAATTTGTAGATAGATTTATTTTCATTTTAAAAGTAAAGAATAAATGCCTACAGTCTTTATTTACATATTCCCTGACAAGTGATTAGAAATTACAGTACTCAATGGTTGAGTTCATCAACAAAGCATCCACTGGAGCTACTGAAGTTAATTGAGGTTTAAGTTAGGATCGAGTCTGGCATCTGGATTCTATCCTGTTAGGTTGGTCTTTCAGGGCTGTGTTTCCATAGTTGCAGTGTAGGAAACCAATGGAAGGCTGCATTTGCAAGGCTGTACTTCAGGGCAGGATCCATGGACCCAATCAGTTCAGAGGCTACATTTTGAGCAAACTTGGTTTATTTAGTTTCACTTTCAGTTTCTAGTCAATTTCGTTTTCTGGTTCTGATGCCCTAGCATAATACTGCTGTTTTGGGGATTTCGACATTTCAGGGGGAATTTAATTTAAAAAAATGTTTATTGTGATTTTATTCAATCTGCTGCTTACCCACCTTCACGAATTGTACCAGGGTCAGTAATTTATTTCAGTTGAAATGGCTGTAGCATAGTGAGATTGATTGCTGAAAAAAAATCTTTGTTTTTTCTGCTGTAATGTTAAATATTTTATGATAGCATGAGACAAACTTTTGTGAATAATATATTCTAAAAACATAACTGACTTCCAAGTCCTGAGCAAAAATCATAAACAATCCTCTTTTTTCCTTATTTTCTTTAAATTACAATAAAATAAAGGTCTGTCATAATTATGTGTATCACTGAGATTTAAATGCATTACATATTATATACTAGATTTGAAAAATGAACATTAGTCTGGAGGAGGTGGAACAAACTTGGCAGTTCATGGTACACTGCAAATAGAATTCAATTTATGCATTCATCTCTTCGTTCCAAATGATTATTGATTACATAAATAAGTAGGCAATTCTTCTCTTTCAGAACTTTGCAGAAAACACTATGAATGAGCTCCTGGGCTGGTATGGTTATGATAAGGTTGAATTGAAAGATGGAGAAGATATTGAATTCAGGAACTACTCTGCAGATGGGGAGAGCCGGCAGCACATTTCTGTTCTCAAAGGTAATGACATTTAATGTTCCTTTGTTCATGCAAAGAAGGATTAACTATCGCAACCTGCCAGAAATGGCTTGCACTGGGATTCATGTTTTGTTGCTTATTCTGTGGCTGATTTAAATATACATCTCTGACAGTGCCTTCCAGTAAGCAGAAAGCAATAGAATACAAGTGTACAACATTTAACAACATAGCAGCTAATATGCCCTTACTAATGTATCTCCAACAGTAACATTTTTTGAGCCAATTGAAACTCATGCACCCAAGATTCCAAGGAGCTGCCAACAAGTATTTTTTTTTTTTTTAAAGGAAATGTGGAAATGTTTTCTTAGCAGTCTGGGTCTAATGAACCTTCCTTCTGACAAAATTGTTGGGCTGAGGCTTTTGATAAGGTCAGATGTTGAACTAGAATGTGCAGAATGTATGGAAGAGCTATGAGTAGTATTTATAAAGGTTAACTTAATAATGTTTTTTATTTTAATATATTATTTCCTGAAAGTGCATTAGAAAGGCTTAAGGGGCGGAGCTTGTTTGGGGTCAGCATATCTGGTCCTTCATGTACTGTATATAAATTTGTTCAAAATCTAAACAATGGGATTCAGTCTTTTTGTTCAGCAGTTCAGTTGCTACCTTTTGACTCTTCAGCCACACCAGATGGATAGGGAATTGCAATCACAGTGAAAAGAAGAACATTTCTTCAGAGTAAAAGAGTAGAAAATTGCTGGATCTTGACTTATCCAACAAGAATTTCTCAAAGCTGAGGTAAAAGAGAGGAAATTACAGAGGCTTTGCACTGTTGAACTGCAACATTTCGCTGCATATATGGCCACCAGTCTCTGGGGTTTCTTTATGGTGGCATGCAGCAGCATTGTATTCAGTGGGGCTTGATATGAATACTGGCAACAAAGAGCCCAATACTGGAGGAGAGGGTGCTAGATAAAAGGTGGAAAAAGTAGAGGTAAGATAAAAGAATTTAATTGTATAGACATTAAATGTTTGCAGCCATTAGTTGTATATGTTATTGATACAGTAATTAGTATTTGTATTCCATTTAAAATATAATATGTGTAAGCCATCTTTAAAATAACTTGTTCCTATGCTCCAATGTATTTTATTTTCTTCTTACATTTTAATAAACAAACCTTACATGGGATTCTCTACAGCCACAATCTATGAGGAATCAAATTTGTGGCACATTTTAAGAATAAGTCTTTATAGTATTTTGCTCATCATGTAAAATAGATAGGATCATATGTATCATTATAAACACATGATACAAGTCATATGTTTTATAATACAAACAAAGATGCTGAATACCTGTGCCAGGTAGAAATCTTTGGCTTACAGAGTCTTTAGGGGGAAAAAGTACTTTGCTTTTGTTGTGAAAAGAGGAAGAGCTATTCTAGGATCTTATTAAATCCTGTTCCTTAGTGAGTTAAAGTACAGTAGAAAAATGCCTGTAAATAAGAGTTCAAGTGTGGTTTTGTATTAAAGAATTACAATTATAACAAAATTTAGCAAATATTTTTCTAAAATTTCAATTTTTTTGTTATTTTCTTTATCTTCTTTTCCATTATTACTAGTTATTGGAGTGGAATAAAAGGTTCTCTTATTTAATCAGTCTACTCCTTTTGCATAATTCATCCGATGACACCACAATCCAGTGTGTGACATCACAATTCACTGCCATGAAAATAATTGATATCAAAGACAGTGGAGTGTGATGTCACTGAATAAATTGGGCATACTCAGGCCATGTAAAAGAAAGAGAGCCTGATTTTTTAAAACAGTACAGCAAAGTTTAATGCAGTTTTTAAAATTTTGCTGGAACGTGGTAGAGGCTTTTGAAGGAGAAAATATTTTCATTTTTATTGTTTGCTCTTTTTGTTTTAGAAAAAAATTACATCAGATTGGTGAAAATATGTAGGGGCACCTAAGCAACACTTCTGCCATACTGTATGATTTGTTCTTTTTCTTTTACAGAAAATTCTTTGCCAAAACCAAAATTACCTGAGGACAGTGTTATTTCACCATACAATATAAACACAAGCTATCCAGGGCTTGCCACAGGAAATGGACTTTCAGACTCACCAGCAGGGTCAAAAGATCATGGGAATGTACCCATTATTGTACCATTAATTCCACCACCTTTCATAAAGCCACCAGCAGGTAAATCACATAACAAACATTTTAAAGAATTATAACTATCATAGATAGCTATTCTGACCTTGTTAGATTGTGGCTCATTTGTAAAAGGTTTAATTTAATTTTTTTGAAAGGCTGTCACAGTAGACTTATAAGGATCCTTAGGTAGGAAGCAGCAGAGTGACTTTATTTGCTAGTATTATTGTAAAATTCTTGTCAGTATCATGGCAGGCAAAATTCTGTACCTATTTATACTGCTTGTGAAACTCTGGAAGTTGAATTATACTGTCTCAGCAATTCATAGATTCATAGATTCTAGGACTGGAAGGGACCTCGAGAGATTATCGAGTCCAGTCCCCTGCCCTCATGGCAGGACCAAATACTATCTAGACCATCCCTGACAGACATTTATCTAACCTACTCTTAAATATCTCCAGAGATGGAGATTCCACAACCTCCCTAGGCAATTTATTCCAGTGTTTAAACACCCTGACAGTTAGGAACTTTTTCCTAATATCCAACCTAAACCTCCCTTGCTGCAGTTTAAGGCCATTGCTTCTTGTTCTATCCTTAGATATTCAACAATATCTGTTTTAAACAAATGATTTTCTTCTATGAAAAAAGTCTTTACATAAATTGATGGAAGATGATTAGATTATAAACAAGGTCCACAAAGCATACAACTAAACAAACAAATAGTCAAATCAATATCACATGTCCTTGTATCAGGCTAACAAGCTCATCCCAGGAAGACTGTCTCAGTTCTCATTGAAATTCTGGACCATTGTCCTTTGGGGATTTTATATGATGCAAACGCTATCCCTAGAGATTGTACTGAAATATTTTAAAAATTCCATGAAATTCTTATCTGGAGCAATTTTTCCAACATGAATTTTCTCAGAGTTAGTTTGAGAAATTATTTATTCCACACTGCATGCTGTTTACTGTTATCTGCTAAAGTAACTGTTATGGCTACACTAGTGTATATAATTGCTGTTATTATTTACTGTTGAACACACTGCAATAATTGGTGAATTTATATAGCAGCAGGCTCAATCCTGCTTCCATTGAAGTTACTGGGAGTGTTGTTGAACTGGGTTAACGTCACTGGGGGTAGAACTGGACCTAGAATGTACTAAATATGTATCAAAGAACATCACTATTTCTCTATTAGAGAATTCAGGAACATGGTGATGTATTTAATTATTAAGGTCCCAGTCATGCAATGGATTCCTGCACCCATACAGAGCCCCTCTGACACTGGGCAGAGCAGCTTGCAGGATCAGGGGCCAAGTGTGGAATGGCCTTCTCTACACTTCAACACATTTACAAAAGTTGAATTTAAAATACATATCTATTTTTGTGTTAATATTTTATTTGACAGGAAGCTGACAGTTGGTCTCCTGAATTATTTTATTGCCATTTCATTTTTAGTATTAGAGGGTATTTTAATATTTTGAAAAAAATTCAAACATATTACTAAATCTATTCTCCTTGCCGAAAATTTTCCATATATTTTGTACAATTATCTAATTACCAGAGCTATTTGGGCCCGCTCCTTCAGCCTTTGCACAGCAAAAGATCTCAGCCATATGGGCTGAATCTTAAAATGGGGTTAATCTGCCCCTGAACATTTAATCAAGGGCTTGTATTTCCCAGGCAATCTTCTCTTTCAATTTGATTCAAGACTGAAGTCATAATGCTGAATTTTGTGGCAACACTATTATGTTATTATAACACAGGGCTATGACATGAATTGTACATGCTGTCATAATTGATGAATTTAAATAACAGCAATCAAGCAGGAAAAGATAGACTATGCCATCGAAAAACAAATAACCTCAACCATAGCAATGGGGACACAGGAAAATACTGGCCAAGCAGATTTATTTCTGCTCTTCCCCCATCCACTTACCAAGTGTGTTCCAGAGTCCACCAATAAAACTGACCTTCAAAGTATTTTTTAAAATTGTTCCTCCCACCATGCTTTTGGTACTTTATGATGTATAAATAAGATCTGAAGGTTGGGTTTTTTTTAAGGTATTTTCTCAATTTTTTTTTTAACCTTTTTTGCCTTACAAATATTATGATGCCAAGTCTGATCTTTCATGTTCCTGTTTGAGAACTTTTGGGTGTCTTGGAGAAGTGTATCATGAGCTCTTACACTATCTGAAGGGGCTGGAGTATTGAATATGTAACAAAGTTATCTTTTCTCCCAAGTGTCACTGTGCAATAAATATGATTTTTTTTTAAACCAAATGAAAACCCAAAGAGTTTTAAATAGACTGCCCAAATTCACCTCACCTCTCAACTGTTCAACTTTTAATATGAACTTAATAAAATTCTAGGTGCTTTTAAAATTTTACCCCAGAAACAAATGTGCATGTACAAAACTGAAAATTCCCGAGTTGATGGCCCTTCACTGAGAATACTCTTCCCCGAGACATTTAATTCTAGACACTATTATCAAGAATACCCCAACTGACCTGATCTGCTGTGGAAGCATGTTAGAAAAGAAACAGACTCAGCCAGCACCCAAATCATACAGGCTTTGTAGATCAACATCAAGAACTTAAATTGCACCTGGAAGCAAACAGTAAGTGAGTGCAGTCTTGAGAGAAGTGGTGCAATATGCTTCTTGTGGCTAATGTCCCCAAACAGGTGGGTAGCTGCATTTTGTGCCAGCTGCAGCTTCTGAATGATGTTTCAAGTTAGTCCCAAGTACAGCATATTGAAACAACATGATACCAATAATAAAATTACTTCTACCTAGCCTTAGAAAAATCTTGTGTTCCACAGAGCAATGTAAAAGGAAAAGAGAATTTATTTCTACACAATAACAAATGATGTCAAAATAACAAGGAACAAGGTATAGCAGCCAGCAACATTACAGAAAAAGAATAATATTTGTACTGGAACCATGATGCTAGTATTTAATGTATTAACATACTAACCTGTATTCTGCAGTCTTTAGTCACACCCTGAATAGTATTTTCTCACCTTCAGCTAATAGGATTATTCACATGAGTAGGGGTTGCAGAGTCTGGCCCCAAAATGCAGGAGAGAACACATTTCCTTCCCACTGGCTCTTCACTTGTAGAGATTTCACTGTTTCAGGTACTCTAGTCATACCAGATGTTCTCTTTGGCTGTCTCCCTCTCAAGGTCCTCACAGTGGGGAGCATTAACTCTCTGTGCCTCTATAGGACTGATGGAGTACTAAACCCCCAATGCTTCTTCTGTGGGCCACTCTGAACAGCTTGAGGATCCCAATTGTGTCTCACCCTGAATTGTTCCACTACAGCCAAACACAACCAAGTCCTATTACTATGACATTGCTTTAGTCTAGTATTTAGCTTATAGGTGCCAGAGTTGCATCCTCAAGTGTTTTTTGCTGTCACTTTTATTGTCATTTACAGCATTCCTTGTACATCTAAAACTTCCTTTGACTCTCAATCTAAAGGGTAGGGCCCTTCAACAGTTCTCCAACTGCAGCTCCTCATGTCTCAGATATGGAATTCTGGCCAAGTAAAGAACCATCACTTTAGTTGTGTGTATATGTTGGCAACATCAACATTTCCTGTTAGATTACGTCCTCAGTTTGGATTCAATCCCAAACCCATTGAATTCTGTAGGAACCTTTCCATTGATTTCAGTGGACGTTGGATTGGATCCTTATTGCCTGGCATCATAGCCCAAATGGAGATGCGGAGATGCCCCACCCCAAAGGGAGCTTTTGGAAGCACAATTGCTCCACAAGAAAAGGGGAACGTTGCCACTGTGCCACCCCTTGTATTGGGTGCAGTGTGTGCTGCCAACCAGTCCATGTGGGGCTGGCTATATGAGGGAGGGGGGCAGAGTCTTGGCCCTTTCGGGAAGGGGTGCAGCAGCAGGGGAGCAGAAGGACTGCCATTGTGCCTGGGGCATGCACAGGGGTGCAGGGAATAACGTTCCTTCCCCCACCCTCTTCTCTGTGCCTCTGGTTTACAGAATAAATCAGTTATTTTAAGTAGCTTTGACTCTGCTCAAACAACAGCTGGCTCCCTGCTATGCTGCACTGAGTGGGGAAGCAGTCGTCAAGGGGAGCAGTGAAAGGGAAGGAGGACTGCTTCTGAGCTGACCTAGCATCCAAAGGGCAAAAATACAGGGATAAAATGATCTCCTATTCAACCCTCCCCCTCCCCCCCCACGATAGTTTATATTTTTTTGGGAGGGATCTTAAATCCTCCAAGCCCTTGAACAGTGCCAGCTCTGTTCCTCTGCACCACATTTCTTCACTTGGTAATTTCAAAATGATAAGGACTGCTGTTGCACTGAAAGGTTTGCAACAATCAAGGCATTTAAAAAAAAGTGTGATGTATAATGTCTGACCCTACAAAACTGTTATTACTATTATTGTGGCCCAAAGAATACCAGAGTGAAGGAGATAAGGTCTCCTGAGGCCAAACAAAAGCATTTCTAATATCTGGGTCCTGTAAAGTAAGCATGTTTAGATTTTGGAAGTGACATTAAATCGGATTATAAAACTGTATATTTGAAAAAAAATTATGAAAACTTGGAAGAAGGAAATGTTATGTTTGAATGCTAAGATGAATAACTAAGAGAGGTATTTTATAGAAAGAAATGAGCTATATCCTTTATCAGAGCTGGATATTTGAATGGAAGTTTACAGTTTTGTTACAAGTGCACTTAGGTAACTCAGACTCATTATTATTATAACAGAGTACCTGCAATGCATAAAAGTAGACATTAGTTCTAGCCCTAAGGACTCTCTAGAAATGTGTGCTGTAAAAATTATCAAGATTCAAATGCTATAGGAAGAATTTAGAAGTAATGGATGAATTTTAAAATGCTTTCTATCCAGGGTTTATAAACTTGGTTGTAAAAATTAACTTCAAGATTACCTATCTAAATTCCCCATGGTCCCATTACTGTATTCCCAATCCTTCCGTCCTTATTCAGGCACAGCTTAATGGCAGTTTTGCTTAAATAACGGCTGCAGGACTAGCCCTAATTTTATATACT